GAGGTGACTGAAGGTGGTAAAGAGGAGGTAAGAATGAAGGAGTCAGAGGGGTGAAGGAGTTACATGAAATAACAGAAATGCAAAGCCTGATAATAATATTAAGGTATCTGAACACAAAGTTTCTTTGAGATAGTGAAAGACAGTGAAAAATAGTGAGAGAGATATATACAGTGAAAGAGAGTGAGATAGATAGATAGATAGATAGATAGATAGAGAGAGAGAGAGAGAGAGAGAGAGAGAAGAAGAGAGAGAGAGAGAGAGAGAGAGAGAGAGAGAGAGAGAGAGAGAGACAGAGACAGAGACAGATAGATAGATAGACAGATAGATAGATAGATAGATAGATAGAGAGAGAGAGAGAGAGAGAGAGAGAGAGAGAGAGAGAGAGAGAGAGAGAGAGAGAGAGAGATTCCTAGCAACTTCCTCAAGATTCATGAGAAGTGCTGGCCACGACACCCTGGGTAACACTTCCTCGGCAGTAATGGTCCCGGCCGTAGTGAACTCCAGCCATCCTTTTAATGGCACTGTGTGCTGGAGGAGCAAATAGTGTGCGTTGCTCTCCCAGTTGTGTTTGTAGGGTCGAGTCACAGCTCTTGAGCTCCGAATCTTACTACTAGCCACCGGTTTAAAGGATTCTTATCCTCCAGGGGTTATCATATCTATTCTTAAGAAGTATACATGCTATTTCCCTTCACAACCTCTTTGTCTAGTTCGTTCCCGTTTCTCACTACCCTGAGACCAACATAGTTTTAAACTACTCTGTGTCTTATCTGCGTCTTTAGCCGCCATCTATTTCTGTCTCCCACGCGCTTCTCAAACGGCATGTTCCTGTTCCCACTGGCGGGTCACTTACCTATACTAGAACAGTAGAGGGGTCAAAAATCGAACCTTTGGGACTCCACTAGCCACATTTGATCACACTGGCATTCCCTGTTTCGCTATGACTGTTATATTTCTAAGTTATTCCTTTATCCATGAGCTAAATCTGCCGGACACCCCAATCTACCTTTTAAAGTTGCAGTCGTGTGTGTGATATTGTCACCGGGTCTTCCTGCAGTGAAGGAATATTCAGTACATTTCTTTTTCTTTCCTTTCAAGTGTGTCTACCTGTCATAGGTCTCTGACTTGTTATTTCTGAACTATGTTAGTGCTATGTGATAATGTGAGATCCATTGTCTCTAAGTGTTCCATCAGTTTTGTTATTTTCTTTATTAATGATCTGCATTTCATGGCTACCTGTGTAGTTTATTTTCAATACAAGGACTATTTTGCCTGTGTCATGTATATTGAATACTGGATTTATAATACCTGTGTCAAGGATTACATTAGCTGCCCAGGTGCCTGACAGTTTCCCTGTTTCTGGTGTTAGGTTCAACTTTAGGTCTTCACCTTCTACTGTCTGAAGCTGAACAATGAGTGGTGACGTCTCCTAACGACTTTTGGGAATGATGAGTGATGGCGTCTGCTATGGACTTTTGGGAATGGTCACAAAGGCCTCCTTCGATTTAGAATACCGTTGCACCTTGTAAGCAGTTTGTTTGACAAAGCTTCACATACTTCTCTGCATCACAATATGACATCGATAAAATATGTGCATGCAGCTTTTGGTGTTCTCAAAATATTGAGAAAATATTTGCCATTAAGTTTGGAATGTTATTTTATGAGCACGTATGGCTTTGTAGTAAGATTTTATTGTCATGGCTTTCTCAGAAGAGAGTGACCCCAGCATACTGGTTTCTACCCAGTCTTCAGCTAGTCCGTAACCTTCATTGTTTACCAATAACCCGCAGAAAGTTTGTTGAGATATGAAGACCGCTAAGACAAGAAAGGACATACTGTATTTAAGCACAGACTATTTAAACTCCTTAAGTCTGCAGTAGAATGACTGATATACAATGATGACTGTGCACTGCTGACAAAATTGTGAGGACATTACTTAAACGTTCAGCTACTGTGTTCAACGTGTCCATTTCGTGTGCAGGAGGCTGAATTAGGACGGTCGTCTAAGAAGGATGTCGACGGCAGAGCGAGTTTCTATTGCGTTTATCTTGTTTGGAGTCTTGGCTAGGACACAGTGCGAATGACCAGACGACTGAGCAAAGAGTAAGATGTGAAATGGAAGCGAACTCAGGGAGAAGGCTAGGGTAAGGATACAGGGATATCAGAAGAGGAAGGAGGCGCTGACAAGAGAGAAGAAGCCATCACGGTTTCTCACTTCTGTGGTTAAATTGTTTCCTTCAGAGCTCCGGAGAACCACGACCGGAGCTTCGACTTATGATGAGGAGGCAGGAAGAGCTGTCTTCCTCCCTCCACACTCCCTCATGATGAGGCAAGAAAGTCTGTCCTCCTGTCCCCAAACTTCCTCATGAGGAGGAAGGAAGGTCTGACTTCCTGCTTCTAACGGACAACATTCTACTGTACATTACAAAGCTTCATAAACAATGATGAACAGCTGCATAATTTACAACATTCCTGAAAGCTTATTGTGCTCGTCAATATTTTGCACAGAAAGCTTTCACTACTTGCATGAGAAAACCAACACGAGCGAGACCAACACGAGCGAGACCAACACGAACGAGCCCAAGACAAGTGAGATCTAAACGAGCGAGACCAACACGAGCGAGACCTAATAAGACAAAAGCAAATGAAGGGTCGGAGGAACGGAGGGGAAGGGGATACAAATGCGGTGATGATGTGGTAAGGGGAAGACTCAGGGAAGAGTGAACTAAGGGAAGACTCAAGGGAAGGTGAACTAAGGGAGGAGTCAAAGGATGGATAAACTAAGGGAATTGTCAGGCGGAGGTAAATTAAGGGAGGAGTCAGGGGGAGATGAACTAAGGGGGGAAGTCAGGGGAAAGTAAACTGAGGGAGGAATCAGGGGATGGGTGAACTAAGAAAGATGATGAAAGTTCTCTCTGTTCACTATACAATAAATTCAGGTAACGCTTCTAAAAATAACATTATACGAATTTTAAATACATAATTCCGACTAGTAGTTATAGAGCGTGTACGCACATGCATGTTTACACGTGTGCGTTCCTTTCGTGTGTACTTGTCATCAGGTGTACACTACAGTCGTCTTTGCAATAGTTTTCGGATTGAGTTTTGCAATAACGTGCTCTATCATACCTGGGTAATACCTGTAATAAATTTCGAGAATTCTTATACTTCCAAAGCCGTGTTTAAGGCCAGACTTCGTTGGTGTGTGCTGGATCAACCAGGCTGTTACTGATAAGGTCCCGGAGGTGTCTCTAAGTTAACTGTTCAGAAAGCTGCCTTGGTCAGCGATGATGACTTAGTATTTACAATATCTCTTTTGGTCACCATCTTACAAAATTAAATATTACTTATCCTAGACTGGGTTAGACTATGCTGGGTTGTAGGTCAACCTAAACTAAGGTAAATTAACCGTCAGTAAAAAGTCCAGTTCCTTGCATCAGAAGTCCCTCACTTGTACTGACGTCACTTGTAGTGAAGTCACTTGTAGTGAAGTCACTTGTAGTGAAGTCACTTGTAGTGAAGTCACTTGTAGTGAAGTCACTTGTAGTGAAGTTACTTGTAGTGAAGTCACTTGTAGTGAAGTCACTTGTAGTGAAGTCACTTGTACTGAAGTCACTTGTACTGAAGTCACTTGTAGTGAAGTCGCTTGTAGTGAAGTCACTTGTAGTGAAGTCACTTGTAGTGAAGTCACTTGTAGTGAAGTCACTTGTAGTGAAGTCACTTGTAGTGAAGTCACTTGTAGTGAAGTCACTTGTAGCGAAGTCACTTGTAGTGAAGTCACTTGTAGTGAAGTCGCTTGTAGTGAAGTCGCTTGTAGTGGGGTCACATGTAGTGAAGTCACTTGTGGTGATGTCGCTTGTAGTGAAGTCGCTTGTAGTGAGGTCACATATACTGAAGTCACTTGCAGTGCAGTCACTTACAGTGAAGTCACGAGTCGAGTGACGTGACGATGCTTCTCGCACGTCATGTCACTCGTATGGCAGCTGACGTTTCCTCTGAAGCACAAGTTTGTGTACTTGACCACACAGCTGACAATCACCTCTAACATTCTTCTCTCTGTTATTAAATAGCTCTTTTTACTATTAATTTATTTGCCTTCAGGAGTATGTACTGTATCTTCAGGAGTATGTACTGTATCTTCAGGAGTACGTACTGTATCTTCAGGAGTATGTACTGTATCTTCAGGAGTACGTACTGTATCTTCAGGAGTATGTACTGTATCTACAGGTGTATGAATTGTAACTTTACGAAATAATTTAGGGAATATTTTTACCCCGGAGATTTTGAACAATTACATAGGATTCCCACGATTATTTCATTTAGGTCAAAATAATTAAAAACAAATTACATTTCGTGCGTCGGTGTTGCCCAACTCCAATAGACGACACATCTGCGTTGTTAGGTGCTTTTCCAGAGTGAGCTGCTGCATACTGAAGTTCCATCATGGCGTTTTGTTGTCAATGAGACGACCTTTGTAATGTTGCCTTAGTTTTTCTATCAGGTGTTGTTGACTTTCACCTGTTTAGGCAACCTATCAGGATCTTGTCTACTTCAAAACCCCCATATATTTCTTCCGCTTTAGCTCTCTTCTAGGAGTTTGCAGGTTCGAATCACTTGTAAAAGTGACGGATTATACACGTCGTGAGGGCTTATATCGGGCTGTGGTCTAGCAGCAACAGCCTGGTTGGCCAAACAGTCATGGCCGGTTATAAAAATCCCTACAGAGAAACATTCACCTGATGCAAAAATTCAGTCACCTAATCCAAGATTTATTTACCTAATCCAAAGATTCATTAACCAAACCCAAAGAGTCATTCACCTAATCCAAATATTTATTCACCTAATCCAAATATTCATTCACCTAATTCAAACATTCATTCACCAAACCCAAAGAGTCATTCACCTAATCCAAAGATTTATTCACCTAATCCAAAATTTACTCACCTAATCCAAAGATTCATTCACCTGATTCACCGTCGAGCACCTAACTCCCCTACCCACAGTACCCGTTGGTGCCCAAGCTTCCGGTGCCACCGCTGGGCCACACTCTCACCTGGTACCTGGTTCACCTGAAGCCAGTCCTGCGGGACGAAGAGTACCAGGAGGCGGCAGACATCGTGGACGAGTTCGGAAAACCAGGAGGTGTTGGCGAGAAGATACAAGAGGAACTCATCAAGAGACACGACAACACCGACAACTGGGTAAGTAGAAGAAGAGGTAAAAGAGGGTAGAACAAGAAGTACAAGAGGAAAGAACAAGAAGTACAAGGGGGTAAATCAGGAAGGTGCAAGAGATGGTGCTTGAGAGATAAAGTTGAGAACGGAAGGAGGAGAGGCGTAGAATGAAAAGCATAAGGGAGAAAAGGAAAAGGACAAGAGAGTGAGAACAGGAGGTAGAAGTAGGTAGACAGGAAGTAAAAGAGAGCATAGGGAGATGAAAGGTAGAAGAACAAAGGGTATAAGGCAGAATTAAGGAAGAAACATGTGAGAAAAGAAGATAACAGGAGGAATTAGCGACTAGACCGGAAGAATTAAGGACTAGACAAGAAGAATTAGGGACTAGACTGGAAGAATTGGGGACTAGACCGAAAGTTAATAGGTAATAGCCGAATTCATAAGGACTATTATCACTAACATTGGGAGAAAGGCAGACGAGTAATGATATCATTAGACAGTGGTATGAGGTAATTAAAGTCAATCTTAATACATGTAATTCTGGCCTCACTCTGCTCGGCAGTTGTTTAAGTAAGCAGCAGCCATTGTGGCTTCTGAGCCGTAAGACTGTGGGATTCAATCCTCAGTGTGTATATACACTGGCAGCTGACTCCATTACTTGCGTTGGCTCTCATGTATCAGTGGTGTGCTGAGCTATTTGTAAGGCCCTCTCGCAAACACTCATTGCGACACACGTAAAAGGAATCTCTCTCTCTCTCTCTCTCTCTCTCTCTCTCTCTCTCTCTCTCTCTCTCTCTCTCTCTCTCTCTCTCTCTCTCTCTCTCTTCTCTCTCTCTCTCTCTCTCTCTCTCTCTCTCTTCTCTCTATTATCTATCTATCTATCTCTCGACTATGATTAGGCAAGAGTACACATCACGCCAGCTGCTTTCATATAGGCAGGTAAATTCCCTTTAATCTCTCCCAGGAGACCTAGTGACTGTCAACACGGTACAAACACTGAACAATAATCCCAACTTGACACTCTAGTAATTACCATATTCACGATTTTTAGTCTGAGCTCTACACTTCTGAAGAGAGAGAGAGAGAGAGAGAGAGAGAGAGAGAGACAGAGAAGAGAGAGAGAGAGAGAGAGAGAGAAGAGAGAGAGAGAGAGAGAGAGAGAGAGAGAGACAGAGAGAGAGAGAGAGAGAGAGAGAGAGAGAGAGAGAGACTTGATACAGCCAACTGTGCGGGCGAAACGTTGTAAGGGATCATATACTGCATTTGTGCCTCCTTCTGAATCATGTCTTCACTTCAGGTTAATCCAAGGAAGGAAAGGGGTAGATCCATAATCTTCTCAATAGACTTTTCCACTGCTGTAAGCTGTGTCAGCTTTGTTAATTTTGTTCCTGGATTCTGTTTTATTAGTAAAAATATTCATAATCCGTTGAAAAATAAAATTCATTTTTTTCATTTATTATAAACTAAATTACCCGAAAAACACCTGATCTCAGATGTTTCAGAATTACTATCTCTTTATATTATTTTTAAGAATGATAAATTAATTTTAGTAAAATGTCTAACATCGACATACTCAACAAAGTTACCAGGTAAAAAAAAGTAATTTGGGTAATTACATTTGTTGATGCTATTTTGAAATTACTAGTCAACAATGTAATTAAGGATGCTTTTGTAATTAACGTAATTTATTGCCAGCTTTTGTTTTTACAAGTGTTTAATGATACAAACATACACATGAATACACAATTACCTTCGTAAATACACAAACACCTAAACTCTCAATGACAAATACGTAAAAAAATACACCTATCGTGTCCTTTAAATACCTACCCTCTCTTCCACATACCTACCCTCTCTTCTATACACCTATCCTCTCCACCACACATTTGTTACCTCCTCTGCATACATGTCCTTCCCTCCACACACCTATACTTTCCTCCCACAAACACCTATCCTCGCCTCCACACACCATACCCTCCACAGCAGTATGTGGCATGTGTTGTTCCCTCCCCCACAGGCGTACAGCTGGTGGCTGGACGACATGTATCTGAACGTGTCGCTGCCGCTGTCGGTCAACAGCAACCCTGGCATGGTCTTCCCCCACCAGAAGTTCTCCACGGACGCCGACATGGTCAACTTCGCCACCCACCTTGTTACCGCCTCCTTCGAGATGAAGGAACGCATTGAAACGTGGGTGTTACTCTGTTTTCTCCTGCTTCACGACTACTGCTACTATCTACTACTTACTGTTCCCCCGGTTTCCTTCTGTTATTCTCTGGGTATTCTCCTGTCATCAACTTGATATCCTCTTGTTAAACTTATGGTGTCCTTTCGTTACATTCTTGATACTCTAGTGATACTGTTTTTTTTATTTTCCTGTTTTCCTCTCGCTTCCATGTAGTAATCCACTACTTCCCTCACACTTACACCCATCTACATCATCACCATCTACGTCCACCCAAATCTCCTTCACCCCACACCTCCCCAACACTCAGATGTAAACGATGGTATGGTAACTGATACTCACAAGTGTTTGAAAACAAAACAAAAATCATAAGCCAACACTAGATATATTAGAAAACGTCTCCTCAACTCCGCCCTTGACTCTAGCCGTGTTTATCTCTCAGCATCTCCCAGGAGATGATCACGGAAGCTCAGCACTTCCACAACTTTTCATAATTACCCTTGTCAGTTAAGAAGCTACATAACAAGCATTCCAATCATCAAAGAACTGGAAAAACTCAAGTACAACCAGTAAGTTCTTCAGCTCTTTTCTTGCCTGGAATATAAGCAGACGAGATGTGAGCTGCGATGCACAAGTCAAGCGCTCTTGACCTTGTCAAAAACTGAACAAATTCGATTATACAGCTTCTATGGCAGCAGTTAGGACAAATTTAGGAAAACAACACAGGGTAGTAAGCGAATTTTTATTCAGGAAAAGTTTCATTCTATGCAGAGCTTCAAGTCTCTGAATAATTCTAAACTTAAAGTGATACTTTTTTCCACAATTAAAGTTTGCTCCGCATTTGCATTTTTTCAGTACTGTCGGCAGTCTGCCTTTATACCCAGATTCAAAGATGGGGAGACATGATCACGGGATACGAAATTCTCAAGAGCAATTTATAAGGTTGATATGAAAACTTATCTGATATGAGAAGATTAGAGCAAGGTACCATAGGTGAAAAATGTGTCCCTCTATATGATTCATTGGTAAGGTTGTGAATAAGTGAGAGATTGTTGAGGAGGCTGTATAAGCCATGTCCATCAGTGAAGTGACGATAAAGTACCACAAAAAAAAAAAACACCTGAGCCCTTGGGTGTTTCCTGTGTTATTTTTTCTGCTCGGATATTTTCCATAATTGTAGTCATGTGTTTTATAATGATTCCTTCACATATGGACTCAAAACTAGATAATATAAGAGCAAAGAAAGCTAGGAACTACAAATGTCAGTTGAGGGAAGGTTAAGAAGAGGGGCCAGGAGTTGGAGCTCAGCCCAGGAAGGAAGAACTCGGTAAATATTACCATACCGTGGCCCGGGTGCCACACAGCTGCTGCTGCAAGCAAAAAAAGGCATTTCTTGAAGCTCTCATTAGCGAAAGGTGAACCTAAAAGCGACTACTAGAAAAAGCATATTAAAAATCGGATCTAAATATTTCTATAATTTCACACGCGACGTGAAGAGGCTAAAAGCGTAAGCAAAACAAAAAAAAAAATTACGTACATAAAATTATTAAGCAAATCCGGTTCCGAGAATATTATAAGGTAATATTTGACCTGGTCGAGGCTGGCTAAAATACAACATGCTAATTGGACCTGTGGGAAAGTTTGACTAAAAGATAATTCAGTCTTAAAAGATGCCTAACTTTTTCAACTCCAGTGTTCGTTAAGTCGTCTTGCTGATGCTGGTCGATCTTACTTACGGACTTCCAAATATTTCTTAATTACGTATGTGAAGAAAAAGTTACAGCTCATGTTAACAGAATTAAACCAGAAGCACTATGATGCAATAGGAAGTAGCTGATGTTGCAACCCAGAGGTAACGCACACACTCACACACACACACACACACGCACACACACACACCATCATATACATAATATATATATATATATTATATATATATATATATATATATATATATATATATATATATATATATATGTGTGTGTGTGTGTTGTGTGTGTGTGTCGTGCCGAATATGTAAAACTGGTCAATTAGCAAGAACTTATTTAAAATTAAGTCCTTTCTAAAATTTTCTCTTATACGTTTAAAGATATATTTTTTTCATTAATGTTAATGTAAAAATTTATAATTTTGCACTAAAAGAATCTTAGAAAACTTACCTAACCTTATTATAACAAGAGCAATTTATTTTAGCCTAACCCAACTAAATATATTTTAGATTTGTTTACAGTAATTTAATACTAAACAAACACAATGAAATACATTTTTTTCGTTAGGTTCAGAATGATTTTGGCGAAATTATTGCATACACAAATTTTCGCTTCGAACAGGCGATAAATGACATGCCCATGCACTCTGCCCCAGGGCCAGACTCATGGAACTCCGTGTTCATCAAGAACTGCAAGAAGCCCTTATCACGAGCCTTTTCCATCCTATGGAGAGGGAGCATGGACACGGGGGTCGTCCCACAGTTACTAAAAACAACAAACATAGCCCCACTCCACAAAGGGGGCAGTAAAGCAACAGCAAAGAACCACAGACCAATAGCACTAACATCCCATATCATAAAAATCTTTGAAAGGGTCCTAAGAAGCAAGATCACCACCCATCTAGAAACCCATCAGTTACACAGCCCAGGGCAACATGGGTTTAGAACAGGTCGCTCCTGTCTGTCTCAACTATTGGATCACTACGACAAGGTCCTAAATGCACTAGAAGACAAAAAGAATGCAGATGTAATATATACAGACTTTGCAGAAGCCTTCGACAAGTGTGACCACGGCGTAATAGCGCACAAAATGCGTGCTAAAGGAATAACAGGAAAAGTCGGTCGATGGATCTATAATTTCCTCACTAACAGAACACAGAGAGTAGTCGTCAACAGAGTAAAGTCCGAGGCAGCTACGGTGAAAAGCTCTGTTCCACAAGGCACAGTACTCGCTCCCATCTTGTTCCTCATCCTCATATCCGACATAGACAAGGATGTCAGCCACAGCACCGTGTCTTCCTTTGCAGATGACACCCGAATCTGCATGACAGTGTCTTCCATTGCAGACACTGCAAGGCTCCAGGCGGACATCAACCAAAACTTTCGTGGGCTGCAGAAACAATATGAAGTTCAACGATGAGAAATTTCAATTACTCAGGTATGGTAAACACGAGGAAATTAAATCTTCATCAGAGTACAAAACAAATTCTGGCCACAAAATAGAGCGAAAACACCAACGTCAAAGACCTGGGAGTGATGATGTCGGAGGATCTCACCTTCAAGGACCATAGCACTGTATCAATCACATCTGCTAGAAAAATGACAGGATGGATAATGAGAACCTTCAAAACTAGGGAGGCCAAGCCCATGATGACACTCTTCAGGTCACTTGTTCTATCTAGGCTGGAATATTGCTGCACACTAACAGCACCTTTCAAGGCAGGTGAAATTGCTGACCTAGAAAATGTACAGAGAACCTTCACGGCGCGCATAACGGAGATAAAACACCTCAATTACTGGGAGCGCTTGAGGTTCCTAAACCTGTATTCCCTGGAACGCAGGTGGGAGAGATACATGATTATATACACCTGGAAAATCCTAGAGGGACTAGTACCGAACTTGCACACGAAAATCACTCATTACGAAAGCAAAAGACTTGGCAGACGATGCAACATTCCCCAATGAAAAGCAGGGGTGTCACTAGCACGTTAAGAGACCATACAATAAGTGTCAGGGGCCCGAGACTGTTCAACTGCCTCCCAGCACACATAAGGGGGATTACCAACAGACCCCTGGCAGTCTTCAAGCTGGCACTGGACAAGCACCTAAAGTCAGTTCCTGACCAGCCGGGCTGTGGCTCGTACGTTGGTTTGCGTGCAGCCAGCAGCAACAGCCTGGTTGATCAGGCTCTGATCCACCAGGAGGCCTGGTCACAGACCGGGCCGCGGGGGCGTTGACCCCCGGAACTCTCTCCAGGTAAACTCCAGGTAATGTATATATATATAATATACATATATATATATATATATATATATATATATATATAATATATATATATATATATATATATATATATATATATATATATATATACATATATATATATATATATATATATATATATATATATATATACATATATAATGGATTAAATATTGAAAACAGGATTCTATATGCAGAGTTCCGTAGCTACAAAAAGTCAGTTCATCGACACCATGCCCAGCCCTTCTAGGGTAGGGTAGGTGCCTGAGCCAGAGCGTACAGCTCACAAGACTGTCATTCCCATTAGCCCCCTTGGGGCGGGGATGACAGACCAGAGAGGCCTAGCTTGTGACTAGGCCTGGGGACAGTTGGCCCAAAGATGAGGAGGTACTTGTGCCTCCTCCCATGGGAGACTTAGGTCTCAGACACTCCCTAAAGAGGGAGCCAAGGCCGGGCCACCACTTGGATAAGGCCCGGGCCGGGAGAATACCGGCTAATCTTTAATAATAATAATAATACTAAAAAGTCAGTTCCCACTATTTAGTGACATGCAAAGACAAACATATGCTGCTGTGTATGATAATTTATGTAACTGTATTTATGATTACCTTTACCTGAATAAAACTTAGCAATGATTGAGCACCGACCGGCTCGTAACCTTTCATAAATGGCACGACATTTACAGCTGTCCCCTCTCTAATTTTAGCTTTATAATCCCTCTTGCTTTTTCCCTTATTTATACAGAGAGAAACAAGGTAAAATGAAAAAAAAAACACTCATTTCACATTGTTTAGTTAATGAGAAGTTGAGCCCAAGCACTGTTATGTGACGGGACGCGGAACCTACGGTACCTGGCAATGCTTTCTCATTTCCTCCAGCAGCCGTCAGGCGGCGACACCTGCCGGCCACACACTTGTTGTCAGTACCGTGGCAAAATATTCTCTTGAATATTGTTTAATCTTATTACGAATAATGACAAAGTTTGCATTAATCAAACATTTTTTCTCTACTTGTTAAAGCATACGAGAGTAACATACTTATACAAATATTAAATTATCGTAAGCTTTCTCAAAATATTCACGTTATATACACGCATATTATACACACGTGCCAGCACGCGCGCACACACACATA